AGCATCGTTTCCAGGGTGGCTCACTCACATGACAGTCAAACTATTGGCAGGAAGCCTCAGTTCCTCCCTGGCTAGTGGCACAAGGCTTCAGTTCCTTACCCCGTGGCCTTCTCCACAAGGTGGCCTTAATAACGTCTCTGAGTTCCCCCAGAGGAGCGATCTCAGAGAGAGCACCGATGGAAGCCATAATGCCTTTGATAACCTAGCCTTGGACACGCCACCGTTTTTATACAATATCCTTGTCCTTTACACCAGCTCAGCCCTAGTCACTGTGGAAGAAGGTGCACAAGGTTGTGAATTCCATTAGGGGAGATGGTCACCTTGGAGACTGACTGCCAGGGTGTGAATTCATGGCAGAATTTTGAGTATGATGATGACGATGATATAGATAGATATAGATGTGTGTGTGCAGATGTATACACATACGTATATATATATATAGACAGAGGTAACATACAGTAATACTCATATTTTATTCTATTTTTTATATATTTTGTTATTACGCAACTAATAGTTGAAAACAGAGACAGCTCCCCTGCGTCATTTATTTTTTCCAGCTTCATTGAACTATGATTAGCAAACAAAAATTGTAGGGGCAGCTGGGTGGCTCAGTCAATTAAATGTCCCACTTCAGCTCAGGTCACAATCTTGAGGTCTGGGAGCTCGAGCCCCGCGACGGACTCTGTGCTGACAGCTCAGAGCCTGGAGCCTGCTTTGGATTCTTTCTTCATCTCTCTCTGCCCCTCCCCCACTCATGCTCTGTCTCTCTCACTCTCAAAAATTAATAAATGGTAAAAAATAATTAAACAAACAAAAATTGTATATATTAAATGTGTACAATATGATTGACATATGTACACACTGTGATCATTACAATCAAGGTTATTTACACACCCGTCACATCTGCCACCTCACAGTTACCCTGTGTGTGTGTGTGTGTCTGTGTGTGTGTGTGTGTGGTGAGAACTCTGGTGATCTACTGTCTCCGCAAACGTCAAGCACACAGTACAGTATTGTTAACTCTGGTCACCTATTAAGCTCATAACTGCAAATGTGTACCCTTTGTCCAACCTCTCCCCTTGTCGCCACCCTCCCCCCGTGACCACCCTTCCACTCTCTGCTTCTAGGAGTGTGACTTTTTTTTAGATTCCACATACATGTGAGATCTGTACAGTATTTGTTTTTCCGTGTCTATGTTATCTCCGTGTAATGCCTTCCACTTTCATCCATGTTAGGATTTCCTCCTTCCTCACAGCTGAATAATATTCCATTATATATACATGCCCTACATTTTCTTTTGTCGTTGATCCATCGATGGACACATAGGTGGTTTCCACATCTTGGCCATTGTGAATAATGCTGCAGTAGACATGAGAATGCAGATATCTCTTTACAGCGGTGACCATTGTCTTTGGATTTATATCCAAGAAATGGGATTGCAAGATGACGTGGTAATTCTAATTTCTTAAGGAACCTCCATATTGTTTTTGATAGTGGATATACCAACTTACTTTCCCATCAGCAAGTACACGGGTTATCTTTCCTCCACATCCTCACCCCAATCACATAATTTAAACATACATATAAATACATACCCCTTGCCTCTCAAAATATGATCATCCTGACTTTACTGTTTTTTTCTTTTTTTGTTTATTTTTGTTTGTTTGTTTTTGAGAGAGAGAGAGCATGCTAGCAGAGGAGAGAGGCAGAGGGAGGGAGGGAAGAAGAGAGAGATTGAGAGAGAGAGAGAGAGAGAGAGAGAGAGAGTCTTAAGTGGGCTCCATGCTCCACACAGAGCCAGACAGAGGGCTCGATCCCACGACCTTGGGATCATAACCTGAGCTGGAATCAAGAGTTGGATAGTCAACTGACTGAGCCAACCAGGTGTCCCCCAAACTTTTTTTATAACAAAGCTTGTTTTATCACAAGTTTTCCCCTTTTATTAAAAAAAACATTTTTTAATGTTTTATTTATTTCTGAGAGAGAGAGAGACAGCGTGAGTAGGGGAGGATCAGAGAGAGAGGGAGACACAGAATCTGAAGCAGGCTCCACGCTCTGAGCTGTCAGCACAGAGCCCGACGCAGGGCTCCAACCCACCAACCGTGAGATCTTGACCTGAGCCGAAGTCCGACACTTAACCGACTGAGCCACCCAGGCGCCCCGGGATTGTTTTTATTCTGCTGGTGGACATGCTGTAAGTGGTCCAACCAATCTTCTCTTGCTGGACATCAAAGCTTTTCCTAGCTTTCTGTATTTTATTTAAAAACATTTTTTAATGTTTATTTAATTTTGAGAGAGAGAGACAGAGCACGAGCAGGGGAGAGGCAGAGAGAGAAGGAGACACAGAATCCGAAGCAGGCTCCAGGCTCTGAGCTGTCAGCACAGAGCCCGATGCGGGCCTGAACTCACACATCACAAGATGGTGACCTGAGCTGAAGTCGGTCACCCAACCGACTGAGCCACGCAGTCCCCCCAAGCTTTCTGTATTTTAAACAACACCGAGCAGACATCTTTGTATATAAATATCTTAACGCTTGTCAGTTATTTCCTTAGAGTAAAACCCTGGAATGGAATTGGTGGGTCAAAATTTTTATTTGTATTATGAAATATTTTTGACACATAGAAAAAGAACAGATAGTGATAGAGTGAACTCATGGTTTCACCTCTGGGCTTGCAAAAAAAAAAAAAAAAAAAAAGGTACAACTATTAGTGTCCGCCTAGCTTTCCTGCTTGCATTCATCCACCCCACCTGCAGGGGTCACAAGGAGGGCTTTCCCCTTCTTCTCTCATGCCTGTGCACGTTTTTATACGTTTAAAACACGTATCCACACACCGCCAGTGTTTTATGGGTTTTAAAACTTCCTGCGATCGACTCTACAGACTTCTGCAACTGGCAACATGCTTTGGGGTTGTCAGGCTGAGCTGCAGAGTGCGTGTTCATTCCCTTTCCCGGCAGTATGGCGCTCCCCTGGAGGAATACACCAGACCCAGGTATCCATTCTTCAGGGGAGGGACATTTACGCCGTGTCCAGTTTTTCCCCACTACAAACGCTACTGCTGGGAGCCTATCTTTTCGTTCACACGTGCCGGTGTTTCTCTGGGGTGTACACCCGCGAAAAGAAGAGCTGTGCTTTACGATTCAGACATACTGGGGCGCCTGGGTGGCTTAGTCGGTTAAGCGTCCGACTTTCGCTTAGGTCATGATCTCGCGGTTCGTGGGTTCGAGCCCCGCGTCGGGCTCTGTGCTGACTGCCAGCTCAGAGCCTGGAGCCTGTTTCAGTCTGTGACTCCCTCTCTCTCTGACCCTCCCCTGCTCACGCTGTCTCTCTCTCTCTCCTAGAAATAAATAAAACATTAAAAAAAAATTAAGATTCAGACATACTGATCGGACTTTTCCGGAGAGATGGGTTTTGAGCCCCTTCTGCTTGCTGGCTGTGTGTCCTCTGGAGCTTGGGCCATCCTTAGGTGGGGGTGTCCCTGTGTTGGGGGAGGCTGCGAGCACGGATGGAAGACACCTAGGAGGGTGTTAATTAGAACCGCTCAGGGAGGGACCGGTGTGATCCGTGTTTTATAAACGTGAACCTGAGGTTCAGAGAGGGCAGGCCACTTCCCCCACATCACAGAGTGACGCGGAAACCGTCAGCTTCGTCCTCACCGGCGGGTCACGCCCGCATTCGTTCATTCAGTACCTACTAAGGACGCACCTGCTCCGTGCCAGGCATTGTTCTAGGCGCACAAGATACACAGCAGTGAGCAAAACACAAAGCCCGCCTGCTCCAAGTGCCGAACTTGGGCGTAATTACGATAAATTGCTAATTATGTATGCCTGCAGGATTGGAGCCGGGGGACGGGGGTGATCCCAACTGGGGGAGGGGTTACCTCTTGGGAGACTTTTCCAAAGCCCCGACTTCTCAGGCTCCTCCTTTCCGACCCGTTCACCCCCACAGAGCTCTCCCAAAACTAGCCGGGGTCTTAGGGCAAGAAGGTCGTCCGGCCGGGAGAGACAGACAGGCGCCCTTTGTAGCCCGTCAGGGCTGTCAATAAAGTTGCGTTGCCTCGGCAACCGCAGGCCGGGCGGGGTCCACAGAGGAGCCCTCGCGCCCGCCCCAGCTTTCTTCCCGCTGTTCCCGAAGGGTTCGCGGGAGAAAGAACAGGCCAGGCTCGACTCTTCGGTGATGGGCGGGGGCCTTCGCCTATGGAAGGACGAGCCATTCCAAGGCTAGCCAATCACAAGCGGGCCGTGGAACGGCAGAGCCCGCCCCCTACCACTTGGACCTGAATAACCTGACCTAAAGCCGAGTTTTGCCGGGAGCCACCACGCTTTCGGCCAATGGGGGCGCTGACTCCGGGCCGTGGGCGGGGCCGGTCTCCATGGCAGCGGTGGAAGGACAGCTACGGGAGCCATTAGCTGCTGTTGGCGGCGCTTGGCAGAGGCGCGGGCGGAGCAGGGTTTCGCGGGGGCGCCGACGGGGGGGCAGGCGGGGAGGGGCCGAGTTGGACTCGGCCAATGGGAGCGGCGCGAGCACCACAGCCACTGAGGAGTGGCGGTGGTTTCGGCCAATGGGAGTTCCCACTGGTCGCGGCGGGGAGGACCCGTCGGGGCAGACGGGAGGCGCGGCGACCCTGTCTGACGAGAGCCGGAGCAGGCAGTGGGAGGTGGCGGCGGCGGCGGTGCGGGTGCCTGAGGAGGAGGAGGAGGAGGAGGAGAAGCGGGTGAGGGGTGGCGCGGGGCCCGACCTCTGAGTCCCCTCTCGGCCCCCACCCCGCGCCGCCTTGGCTCCCGGTCGCCCCCAGCCCCGACCGTCCCCCGCCCTGCCCGGCCCCTCCTCATGTCCAGGCGCCCACGTCTCCTGGCCCTTCGGCGGGCCCCCGGCTGCTCTCAGCGCCCAGCCCCTTCCCTGTGCTTGCTCACCCAGGCCCCTCCCTGCACTCCCGGGCCTAACCCGACCCGTGGGGTCGCCCGCGGGCTCCGGACTCCCCTCCCTGGACCTCACTGCGCGCCGAGGCCCCTGTCCCAGTACCGCCGCCGCGGACCTCAGCCCCTGCTTCTGGACCCTTCACTGCTTACCCAGATCCTTCCCTGGATCCAGGCTCGCTGCTCCCTGGAAGCCTACCTGCCCCTTCTCTGCTTCTCCAAGCCCCGTTCTGGACCTCTCTGCCCCCCTGCACCTTCTCGGGACCTGCCCTCAACCCTAGGTCTACACTCTGGCTTTCCTGGGGTCAACCCTGGGCCCCCAGGCCTTCCCCCCGCTCCGTGTCTCCAGCAGGCACCCCCGGCGCCTCTGCCCCAGCACCCCTCCGCGCATTTTGTCTTTACCCACATGCCTCCCTGCAGCTTCCGCCCTGTCCCAGCGCCCTCTCTCAGCACCTCTTCTTTCTGTATCCCCAGCCTTCCTGTCTTCTAGACCACCTTCCCCGCAGCTCTAGCTCCCGATCTCCCTTCAGCTCCCCCTTCCTTGCGGTCGCCCATGGACTCTCCCTGAAACACTGTGGTATGGGTGCCCAACAGGCCCTCCGCAGCCTGGGTTAGGGGTCTTGTTTTGTTTCCTTTTGCTAATTCCCTTCTTTCTCCTCTTTTTATGGACCTGTTTGCCTCCCTGTATCATTCCTTTCCTCTCCCCCCTTCCCTGCTTTGTCCTCGGAGCCCCCCCTCCCCCAGAATCCTTGGAGAGGGAGCAGGTGCTGGGATCCTTCCTCCCCTCTCCCTTCCCTCACCCCCACTCCAGGCTGCCTGGGGCTTCACCGAGAGTTTCCTGATGATTCCCAAGGGCTGCTGGGGTGGGGGGTGCGGAATTGGGGAGTGGGAGGGAGATGGAGGCTGAGGCCAGGAGGAATGAGGGTGGGTGGAGGAACAGTCTGTCCCAGTGGGGTAGGAAGTCGTGGATTTTTCCTTGGTGAAGGCTGGAGGTGGAGATGGGTTCCCCCTGACTCCCTGTCTCCGCGGGGCTAAGCCTTTAGGGTTATTCCTGACTGGGCCAATTAATCAGCCTTCCCTGAGCCAGTAGGGACGTGCGTGCGTGTGCGTGCGTGTGTGTGCGTGCGCGTGTGTGTGGTGTATGGGGGCATGAGGGGATCTGCGTGTGGGTGTGCTCCAGAGCCTGGTGCTGGCTGACGGTGACGGATATTTCTTTGGGGCCTTCTCCACTGTCAGAAGTACTTGTTGCATTCCGTCTGCGCCGAAAGCCCTGTGAAGTCAGCTCTGCTTTCCTCCCTGATTCGTAGATGAGACTGGAGACCAAAACGCTTGCCAAATTCTGCACAGCTCCCAAGCGGCCCTCCTGGGGCGCCGCCCCTGCCCCTGCATTGTGCCCTCCACTCTTGGCCAGAGGCAGCATGGTCCGTGGGGCACCATGGGACCTGACAGAGTGACAGCCAGAGAGCTGTGTGAGAATGACGACCTTGCCACCAGCCTTGTCCTGGACCCCTACCTCGGCTTCCGCACCCATAAGATGAACGTCAGGTGAGGCGGCCGGGACAGGGTGGACCCAGGGATCCGGGACCCGTTCCCTTCCTCCACGGCCCCTGCAGCCCCGAGTGGGGGTGGGGGTGGGGCCCGGGAAGGCCCAATGGATTAGGCCAAGGCCCTGGGACCCAGGCATGCCCTCTCCCCCAGCCCCGTGCCCCCCTTGCGGCGACAGCACCACCTGCGCTCAGCGCTGGAGGCCTTCCTGAAGCAGCGGGACCTGGAGGCAGCGTACCGGGCCCTGACGCTGGGAGGCTGGATGGCCCACTACTTCCAGAGCCGGGGCCCGCGGCAGGAGGCTGCCCTCAAGACCCACGTGAGGGCACCCTTCCCTTCCCCCACCCTCGGCCCACACGTCCTCCCTGGCACCTCAGCCTGTCCTGGGTCCTTCACCGTGGCAGGCAGACCTCTGGAGCCCCAGTCCCTCTGCAGAGCCGCCCCCCCCACCCGAGACTCCCTAACTTCCCCGCCGTTGGGACCATCTGAGACGAGGCTCAGAGAATCCTAGGAGAGTTGGGGGGCCCTCTGCGATGGAGTCCAACCTCTTCATTTGACAGATGAGGAAACTGAGGCCCCGAGAGGGGAAGTGAGTTCCCCAAGAGCACACAGCGAGTCAGTGGCAGAGCAGGACTAGAGCCCAGGCGAGAGAGGGCCGAGGACCAGGCTGCCCCACCTCCTCACCCCGCCCACCCCCTCACCTCCCCCAGATCTATCGCTACCTCCGAGCCTTCCTGCCTGAAAGCGGCTTTACCATCCTGCCCTGTACACGCTATTCTATGGAGACAAATGGAGCCAAGATTGTGTCTACCAGAGCTTGGTAAGAGGGCCGAACTCACAGACGTGGGCTCCGGAGGCTGCTGGGAGGGGAGACCCCTGGAGACCAGGGGAGACACCTCTGGCACTGAGGCCAGGAAGATGTCTGTTCGGGGGTGGGAAGGGGCAGTTTCCTGCTGACACGAAGCAGGCCAGGCCAAGTCCCAAAGACGCTCTTCCCTCACAGCAGCGCTGGTGGGAGATAAGAATCCCCATGTGACCCCAGGCTTGGGGGGCTGCTAGGAAAGTACTGACCTGTGCCCAGGACCATGGCAGCCCTCGTGCCGATGGGGCCCCTGCTGTGTAGCCAGCACCGCTGGGTAAGGGACAGGCCAGTGAGCAAGACGGACCCTGCCCAGTGTTCCCAGTGTAGAGAGAAGGCGGGTGGTACGCGCAGGTGGTGACCAGAGTTGGTGTTTCGGGACCCACCAGGGAATTTTGAGTGTTCATGGGAACCAGGCCTAAGCCCAGAACTGCTGGGGGTCTGGTGAAGCGTGGGGGTGGGAGGTAGCAGCTGTGGCGAGTTCATGGGGGTCCAGGCGGAAGGACCATCATGTGGGGCCCAAGGGGAGTCGGGGCCGGAGGAGGAGCTGAGGGCAAGAGGGGAGCAGGAGTGGTGCCTGGGTCCACCAGGGTCTGGGAGGCATCCCGTCCGAAGGCTGGGAGCCAGGCCACCGCCCATGCAGGCGTGTGTGGGGGAGGGGACTTGAGGGCCAGGTGGCCGGCGGTGGCCCGCAGGAAGCCTGGTACGTCTGGCCCCTAGAGGCGCCCGCTGGCCGAGCTGGTGGTCGGGGAGGCACTGCTCAGACGGCGGCCTGGCCTGGCCTCTTGGCAGGAAGAAGAACGAGAAGCTAGAACTGCTGGTGGGCTGCATTGCGGAGCTGCGGGAGGCTGACGAGGGGCTGCTGAGGGCCGGCGAGAACGACTTCAGCATCATGTACTCCACGCGCAAGCGCAGTGCACAGCTGTGGCTGGGCCCCGCCGCCTTCATAAACCACGGTGGGGCCGGGGCCGGGGCAGGGAGGGGCGCTGGCGGCGCCTGCTCACCTCTCCACTCACCTGAGTCTCTTCTTCTCTCCCTCGCCCTCCCTTCAATGCTCCAGACTGCAAACCCAACTGCAAGGTGAGACTTGGGGAACCCCCGCTGAGGAGTGGGCTGGGGAGGGGCGTTTGGGTCAGCGACTACCCAGAACCTGCCTGGGGTCTCCCCACCTCCGAGCGGCCTCCTGCCCCTGGCTGGAAGCGAGTGTGCACCTGCAGTGGTCCGGGATCAGGGGGGAAGGGGCCCTGGTTAGGGCCTCCCTGGAACTCGGGTGGCCACCTGCTGGCAGCCTTCTTCCCACTCAGGAGAGTGTGGTGACAGGGAGACAGAAGGCGCCCCTGCACCCGGAGCCCACTGGCCACAGCTGTGCACCCACCACAGTGGGACGCAGGGCAGCTGAGCAGCGGGAGGCTGGGGCGAGGCCAGAGCGAGCCCCAGAGGACGACGGGGCTCCAGGAGGCGGGGCTCCAGGAGGCAGGGCTCCTGGGCCAAGGGAGCAAGGTAGAGAAGCAGCTTTGCAGGGGGAGCCGCTGCGTGTTCTCTGAGGTGGAGCACAGAGTACCTGGAACAGAGGAGTCCCACTCAGGCCTTGGGTGCGCATCCTGCCGAGTGTGGGCCTCAGGCTTCTGTCTGCTGGAGCCCCAAGGTGGGACCGGGGCTCTGGAGTTAGAGCTGGGTTGAGTCGTGGCCCCTGCAGCCTGGGTGACTCTCCTCAGCCGGAGCCGGGGAGGCTGTCTCCAGGGGTGGCGGTGAGGGCTCGGCGTGAAGTGCACCCCATGGTTCTTGTGCTCTGTGGTTCTTTAGACCCATTACATGGATTTGGAAAATGTGCTGCGTAGGAAGAAAACAGGGCAAGGCTTTTTGGGAGAGTCTCTCTCTCTCTCTCTGCGGTGAGGAGGGTGCCAGCCACCTCAGGGCCCAGGCTCCGGCCTTTTCCCTAGCGGTGCAGAACCGGGAGGCCGCACGGAAGTTCGGAGCCAGGCGCTGAAAGAGGAGTAGGACTGTGTGAGGCGTTGAAGGGAAACTGAGTCATGTTAGGGCATTTGCGGCCTTCTCAAACCAGCGCGTCTCAGCGGAGGGCCAGGAAGCCTGGCAGCCATGGTGACTCTGGCCTCGTGTGCCACAAAGGAGCTCAGATGTGCCCCCTGGATGTTCCCACCGGGTGAATGATGGGGTTTGGTTTTTATTTCATTTATTTATTTTTTATTTTTGTTTCATTTTTAATTTATTTTTAATTTTTAATGTTTTATTTATTTCTGAGAGAGAGAGAGAGAGCACGAACAGGGGAGGGTCAGAGAGAGAGGGAGACACAGAATCTGAAAGGGGCTCCAGGCTCTGAGCTGTCAGCACAGAGCCAGACGTGGGGCTCGAACCCACAAACTGTGAGATCAGGACCTGAGCTGAAGTCAGACACTTAACCGACTGAGCCACCCAGGCACCCCAATTTTTTTAAACATTTTATTTATTTTTGAGAGACAGACAGAGCATGAATGGGTGAGGGACAGAGAGAGACACAGAATGGGAAGCAGCTCCAGGATCTGAGCTGTCAGCACAGAGCCCAGTGCGGGGCTCGAACTGACAAACCATGAGATCATGACCTGAGCCAAAGTTGGACGCTTAACCGACTGAGCCACTCAGGGGCCCCTAGAGGTTTGGTTTGTAGATGGCCCTGGTGGCTCAGGAACGGAGGCGCGGCAGGACAGGCAGGGAGCAGAGGCTGCCATATGACCTGGTATGAGTGAGATGTTGGCTCCAGGAGTCTGGGGGCCACAGAGGGCAGGGACGCAAGGCCCCGTGCACGGAGGCTCCGGCCAGCTGGCCTGGGAGGGGGTGGGCAGGTGGCGAGAGCCACCCCAGGTGTGTGTCAGGCTGGAGTGGAGGTAGGGACGGGAGTCCCCTCCTCCCAGAGGGGGAACACGGAGGCAAGAACAGGCGCAGGCAGGAGTGGCCCCAGGGGGCCGCAAACCCAGACTAGGGCCGCAGGGTGCACAGGCACCCGGACGGGGAGACGGCCGAGACAGGCAGAGCTGGGACGTCACTGCCAAGGTGCAGGCTGCTAGGGCGTGGGGAGCGGGTGGGGGCCTGTGGGAGGGGTGGAGGAAGGGTGCAGGAGGGAGCAGGCAGTGCTCTCCGCCAGCACCGCCAGCGTCAGGTTAGATCATCATCCTGCGGGGAGGGCGAGGCCAGCACACGGCCGGAAGTCGGGGAGCGTGTTGGGAGGACAGGCCCTGGAAGGGTGGGCTCCTGGGAGCTCCTGGGCCCTGCTCGTCCTGGGAGCACACTTGTGCCGGGTGGCGTGGGGCCGGGCAGCCCCCGGGATCGGCCACTGAGCAGCCCAGCCCCCAGTTTGTGCCCGCAGATGGGAATGCAGCCTGCGTGAAGGTGCTGCGGGACATTGAGCCGGGGGATGAGGTGACCTGCTTCTACGGTGAAGGCTTCTTTGGTGAAAAGAATGAGCACTGTGAATGCTATACCTGTGAGAGGTGAGGGGGGAGGTGCGGAGGGACCCTAGGAGGAGTGTGGTGGGGAGGGCACCGACGTGGAGAGGCCCGCGGGAGCGCCATTAGGTGCCCCCGAAGAGCTTCCTCAGGGCCTGCTCGGGACCCACTTCCGCCCCCTCCCGCCCGCCCGCAGGAGGGGTGAAGGGGCCTTCCGACTGCGGCCCAGGGACCCCGCGCCCCCGCGGCTGCTGGACAAGTACGAGCTCCGGGAGACCAAGCGGAGGCTGCAGCAGGGCCTGGAGGGTGGAGGCCGGCTGGGCCCCAGGGCCTGCGCCCACCTGTCCCCACTGCTCCGGGACCCGCTCTGTGGTGAGCTCGGGCCGGGGACCCCATCCTGCCTGCCGTATCCCTCCCTCGGCCCCTGTGCCGGACGCCCTGCTCACACCCACCCCTCTCTCTCCCCGCCCCCCCCCCCACAGCTGCCTGCCAGCCCCTGCGCCCCCTGCCCTGCGGAGTCCGCCCCGACGCCCCGCCCCTCTGGCTCCAGTGGCTGCCTCAGCCCCAGCTCCGGATGCGCCCCCGGCGGCGCCGACGCCCCCAGCCCCGGCGGGCCCCGGCACCCCCTGTTCTCCGTGCTGCCCGCGTCTCCTTGCACCAGTGGGGAGGCTGTGGCCCCCGATGCTGCCTGCGAGCGGAGGCCCTGGTGGCCCTGAGCCCGCCCCCTCGCGCCCACTGGGCCCCCCAGCAGGACTGGCACTGGGCCCGGCGTTATGGGCTGCCTTACGTGGTGCGTGTGGACCTGAGTCGGGTGGCCCAGCCCCCGCCTGCTGCCCCCACCCCTGCCGGGACCCCAGGCCCCACCCCCATCCCCAAGCAGGCCCTTGCCTTTGCCCCCTTCTCCCCACCCAAGCGCCTGCGACTGGTGGTCAGCCATGGCTCCATTGACCTGGATGTCAACGGTGACGGGCCATGATGGGCCAGCCAGGGAGGCCCTGGGCCAGGAGAGGAGGGGATCCTGCCTAGTCCCCCCGCCCCTGGCCTCTTGTTCTCGGGGACGCACTGACCTCTAGAAGGAGCTCTTGGACGTCTGGGAGGGAGCTGGCCTTCAACCCCAGCACAGCTCTGACCCGGTGAGGGGGAGGGCCTGGGTCGTTTTGGAGACACCCAGGGATCTGACCCCTGGCCCTTTGTGATTGCTGACCCCTGAGCCGCCCCACCCGGGTTGGGTACCCTGGCCGCTGCTGCCCCACACCCCCACCCCCAACTCCAGCCTCAGGACTACAGGAGCCCTTCTCTTCCCTACCCACCTCCTGCCCAGGGAGCAAAGCCATAAGGGGTGGGGGCCGCCCCGTGGTGTCTCCCCAGAAGCCCAGGCCTCAGGAGGCGTCAGAACTGACCTGGGGGCGGCCCTCCCTAGAGACTGCCTTGCGGACGGGAGTGGGTTTGCGCTCAGCTCGGAGACTGTCTGAGGTGGGGGAGCAAGGTGGGGGGGCAAGGTGGGGGGATGTCTGGGACGCGTCCTCACCACCCGTGGGTCTCAGGGAGGCCGGATGCGACCTCATCTTTCTCATGGTGCTGTCCCTGGTGCTACTGGGGTGTGGGGGTCCCTCCCCTCCCCCACACCAGAACGGGGTATGTTGGGGGATTGAAAGCACTTGAACTTTTTATTTTATTAAAACCTTGTTATAAGCAGTGCCCTTTGTAGCTTTTCATTTTGATTTATGTGTCGAGGGGATGTTTGTGGAGCTTTGGAGGGCCAAGGGTCAGTAGGACGGCGCTGAGGGCGGTGGAGGACAGAGCCGAGCATCACACCCCCGGCCAGTGGTGCTGGTGAAGAGTGCGCGGACTCCCCCGCTCTTTCAGATGAGGTAACAGGCCCAGCGAGCAGGGTGACTTGCCCATGGTCACATGGGGCCCAGCCACCCCCGTACCCTCATACGTGTCTTCTTGGTAGGCCTGGATCCGTGGGCCCAGGGCCATGATGCTCCGGATCCGGGGGCATAGGGACACCACCATCATCTCCTCGCGGTCACCTCCCCCCCCCACTGTGCCTGAGAGAGATGGGGACAGCTACCCACCTGTGAGTGCATCCTGCCTCCCTGCAGTCCGGGCTGTTCTAGAACTGAGGCCTCACACCAGAGGGGAGGGTGTGAGGGGCAGGGAGGGGCCGCTGGGGGTGGAGGTGGGGTGGGGCAGAGCCAAATGTGTTTGTCTCAAATCCCTTTCATTCACAGCATCTGTCTGACCTGCGACTCCTACTGAGCCTGTTTGAAAGGAGGGAGAGGTGGGTGCAGAGGGAGGGATGCAGCCGTGGCCTCTACACGGACTGGAGTGCAGGTGTCTAGTGGCTTCTAGACCAACAGCGCAACAGAGCCGGAACCTTCTCCAGGATGGCTGGACGGAGGGACACGGGGCGGGGGTGGGGGGAGGCTCCGAGGACTTCCAGAGATTCTATTTTAAATGTATTAACTGACCATGCGTGTGCACGCTCTTCAGCGGAGGGGGCCTGGGGCCTTGGTCCATGTCTCTGAAGCGTCTGGAACCCAGGTGGGCAGACGCTCACGAGGGCTCTGCTGCCGCCTGCAGCTGGCTGGATCTGGGGTGCACGATGAGGAGCTGCCCGCCAGCCTCCACCCACCAAATGCCAGTAGCAACCCCTCGGTTGTGACAGAAATGTCTCCAGACCCCGCCAGATGTGTCCCTCAGCACCACCTCCACTGAGAAGCACTAGGCTGGGGCAGCAGGTCATGGGGAAGGAGTCGCGTGGGGCTTGCATGTCCAGCGCTCCCGGGACCACCCCCCCTTTTTCTTTAAACTTTTTTTTAAATGTTTTATTTATTTCTGAGAAGAGACAGCATGAACAGCAGAGGGTCAGAGAGAGAGGGAGACACACAATCCGAAGCAGGCTCCAGGCTCTGAGCTGGCTGTCAGCACAGAGCCCGACGTGGGGCTCAAACCCACGAATAATGGCCTGAGCCGAAGTCGGACGCTTAACCGACTGAGCCCCCAGGTGCCCCCACCCACCCCCTTTACAAACAGCCTGCGGGGGGCAGGGATGTGGGCAGCATCCGCCTTGCTGCCAGGTTCTGCCCCGACCCCCGAGTCGACAGGACAGCGCAGGCTGGGGAGGGAAGCCTGAGAGTCGGCAGGTCAAGGGAGGGCCTCGACCCCCATCACGCAGCCTGAGCAAGGACATAGGGAAGATGGCCGGGAGGTGAAGGGAAGAAGGAACTGAAAGGAACAGCAGGTAATCACCGCGCACGTGCTCGAGGTCCGTGCTCTGCCTTCTTCGCCTCTGGTAGTTGGGCCAGCAGCAGAGCCGAGCGTGCCATTCAGGCTGGGTACCCCAATCCTGGACCCCCTTCTCTCCTGACCCTTTTACGTGCACACGGCTCTGACCAGATGTTTCCAGGAGCCCCAGGACCCTGCTGATGGGTTGGCCATCCTGGAGGGCGGCTTGGGTCCAGTCACTCCCACTGTGCGATGTGGTGTCCAGCACCAGAATTGAACCGCCATGCCGATTCAGGCAGAGACCCACACGCACCCCCTGAGAACACTAGCCTGTGACTCAGCACCATCCTCCCTACGAAGAGGTGCAGGTGTGCTCATCAGCATACTGTGGACGAGCGGGCCATGGTGCAGAGGGCTCAGGACTGGGGGCCACACAGCTGGTAAGCTGTGCGGCTGGGACTTGCTCATTTCTCAGAGTTCATCAGGCTGTGGGATCTTCAGGATGAGAAAAGAGGCCAACTCCAGAGATGGGAGACTGGAGCTGGGCCTACTGGGGACCGAGGGACAGTGAGCTGGGCCACAGTGGCTTCCATGAGGTGGGGGGGAGGAGATGGACGGCGGGTTCCTTGAGGGTTTGGGTTCACAGAGCAAAGGGTGAAAGGCAGCCCAGTGGCTTTGTGATTCTGATGGGGAAGTGCCTGGAAGCGCCTCAGCCTATCTGCAGATGGGGAGGAAGGGACTGGCTGAGGGGCTCAGAGGCAGGGGAAGAAGTGGCCTGAGAAGGAAGAGATGGAGCTGGGAGAAGAGAGGGGAGTGGACGGGGAATGGCTGGGAGGTGGGGAGGAAAGCAGGGATGCAAGTTGGGAAGACGGGCGGGCGGGGGGGGGGAGTCCAGGAAGCAGCTGCACATCCTTGGCTGGCACTGGGGCTCCAGAGGAGCTGCTCAGAGTTCGGACCCTGGGCGTGTGCAGTGCTGTTGACCCAGACAGCCACAGAGAGGGGGGCCAGACCCTGCCTCTGGCTTGGACACCTGTAGCGGTGGTGGCTAGGAGTGTTACGAATACTCCAGAAGTGGTTAAGGGATTGGGCCACTTGGGTGGCCCAGTAGGTTGAGCATCTGACTCAGTTTTGGCTCAGGTCATGATCTCACAGTTCATGAGTTTGAGCCCTGCGTCCAGCTCTGCGCTGACAGCTGGAAGCTGCTTCAGATTCTCTCTGCCCTCCCCTGCTTGTTCGATCTCTCTCTCTTTGCCCCTCCCCTGCTTGTTCGTTCTCTCTTCCCTCCCCCACCCCCAAATAAATACACTTAAAAAAAAAGTGGTGGAGGGCTGATGGTGGGGACGAAAAATGGAAGGTTGGGAGTGCCTGCCAGGCAAGGACTAGAAAGTGCACTCCGGGTAGGGGTGGCTTGTGGAGGTCCAGAGGCTGGCTGGGGCTGCACAGGTGGCAGGCTCCGTGCTCAGACACTACCTGGGTGACCTCACTGAGTGTCAGACAGCCGGCAGCCCCATTTGGTGACTCAGAGAGCTGCCTTGCCTGTGTGGCACTGCCAGCTTCCCCGCCACAGAGGCGATGCACCCAGCATGCCCTGCACACTCACCTGCCCCCTCCCCCCACATCTCAGGCTGTGGTTGGAGAGAGGGAGGCTGGGGGCAAGGTACCTGGGTGAAGCCATTGCGGGAGATGAGATGTCTGGGGTGCGCCCTGGGTGGTATGATGAGGGCAGCGCCAAGCGTGTGAAGGTGTGCCGGGTGGGGGTGGGGCGGTGGCAATCATCCAGGGTGGTGGGAGGAGCTAGGTGGAGCCAGCCCTCCCCTGTGCCCGCTCAGCCCCTCCCATCATCCCACGTCTGGTAATGGGACTCTGTACCATCTCCGTGTCCGGGGGAGCTGAGGTGCACACAGGTCAAGAGGCTTGTTGAGCGTCACCTGACACGTTCAGAATAGTAACAGCCACCTTTGAACCCCAGATTAAACAGGCATCTTGAGATGACTTCAGGCGGAGTCTGGGTCCAGGCTGTCGCAGGAGGCTTACAGCTGCAGAGAGAAACAGGGGAATCCAGTCCTGCCCTGGACTCAGTCCAGGCTAGAACTCCAGGGTTTTGTGCTGTGCTAAGGATCATGCCTCAGCCTTGGGGAGTGGGGGTACAGGTGGCTGGGGAGATGACATTTCAGTGGGCATTTGGAAGCAGAATGAATGTTGGCGAGCCTGGCTTAGGGCAGACCCAGTGCTCAGATGTGGCAGGAGCACATTCCTCAGACAGGAGCTTGGAGCATCCAGGAGAAGTGGAGAGGCGGCCGCCCTGTTTGGGGGAAGGAAGGGGGAGACTGCTCTGGCGGAAACAGTGCTCCCAGGGCAAAGTGTGCAGACTGTTGGTGGGGGGCTTGTGGGAGGAAAACAGGGTGGGAAACGGAGTCAAACGGGGGCCCGGGAGAGACGGAGAAAGGTGCAGAGCTGGGAAAGGGTCCGGAGGCAGCGCTGACCCCAACCCTCAGAACTTGGGAATGGAAGTCCCAGAGGAGGTAGAGCAGGTGTTTAGGCAAGAGAGAGGACCCCAAGGAAGGAGACGGAGGGCGGCGTAAGTGTGGGGATGGAGAGTCAGGAGCACTCTGGTGGGCACGAGTTGTCATGCAGAGGTGGTGGCTGCCTGCGGAGATCAGTGGAGCAAGGGCGGGCGGGGCTTGGTTGCTCCTGGCCTAGACACCTGCCGGTCCGCCCCCCACGTCAGCCCCGATGGAGCCGGAATCCTCCCCTGCCCTCTCTCGCCTCAGAACCAGGAGTGTTAACTGCAGGGCACAGACCAAGGACTCTTCCGGCCCCCACGCCAGATAAGAAACATCATCAACAACAGCTTTATTTGTGGCTTCTAGAATCTCCGGGAGACTCGAGGACGGTGGGGGTTGAGGAGGGGCGACAGTGAGGTGATCCTTCGGGGGTCCGCACTCAAGGCCGTCAGATTTTACCCGCGAAGGTCCCTTCCTGGATCTGCTCGGTCCAGCGCTGTACCTGGGGAGAGGCGGGCGGGAGAGGAGGCAGAGGGCCCTGTTCAGCTCCGCGCGACCCTCAACCCTCGCCCGGTCCGGCCGGCTGCCGGCGTCCCCTCGGCCTGCTCACCCAGCTCCTGGGGCACAGCGAGCGGAACACGCGGAAGTAATACTCGCAGGGCTGCGTGCCTTTCCCGCGCTGGTTCATTTTCCTGACGCAGCGGTGGTAGTCTGCAGGGTGCGGCGGGGCGCGCGGTGGGGTCGCCTCCGGCCGGGTCCCTCTAGGCCGGGCCCCGCCCCTCCAGGGCTCTGTCCCCACCCCTCCAGAGCAGGCCCCGCCCACGCTCAGTCAGGCCCCGCCTCACCATGGTCGGCCCACCCCCTCCAGACCAGGCCCCGCCCCCAAACACTAGGCCCCGCCCCCGCCGGGTAGGCCCCGCCTATCTCGCCCTGACGCTACAGGACTTGGTTACGGCCCCTCTAGAGCAGGTTCCGCCCACTCCCAGCCAGGCTCCGCCTATCGCACCCTCGCCCCGCCCCTCGGCCCAGGCACCTCCAGAAGGCCCCGCCCCTTCCAACCGTGGCCCTTTCCTCTAACACCCCAACCGTCTCCGCCACCAAGGCCTGTCCGGGACCCTCTCCCTGTCCTCAAGTGGGACGGGCCCCTTCCCGCCTTCTCTGTCTCACTCCCTCCCCCTAACTTGGCCCTCAAGGTCTCACCCAGGAAGTTCTGGTAGCAGTTGCGGGTCTGGTTCTGGTTAGGGAAGCGCGGGTCGAAGGGTGGTGTTGGCCATCTTCCCTTGGGGGACTTCTGGGACTCAATATCCAACATCTAGGAAGGCGGCAGCTCCTGCGGGGCGCCCCTCGCTCAGCCCCGCACCCAGCTCCTGGACCCCACCCCGAAGCCCAGCCCCTGATCCCGCCCGCCCTGCCCTCACCAGACTGATGTCAACGTGTCACTGAGTCAGCATCCAGCGGTGCCCCTCGCTTCTGAGTGTCGGGGGTCCCAGCCCAGGAAAAACACGACCTCTGGCACGATTGGCTGGGGCCCCTGGAACCCCAGCCAATGGGAGCCGCTGCGCTGCAGGGGGGCGTCCTGGGCCGCCGGACGAGGTCTGTCTGCGTGGACCCCCGCCCAACTCCCGCCGCCTCCCGCCGCCTTTGCCCCCCACTCCCACCCCGCCCCTCACACACACTGGCACCCAGACGTTTTTTTGCCGAGTCTCGGACCCAGACTTTTAATCTCTGAGAATCTGGGCCACTCCGCGGGCTCCCCCTGCCCCGCCCCACCCCACCCCCCACCCCCAATATATAAACGTATACATAGCTCTGGTCTCTACCGGGGAGGGAGCATCCCCCTGCCCGGCCTTTTCAGCGCCATGCTTTTTACGGTACAGGTGCACAGCACCCTGCGGGCCTGTGGTGAAGAGGAGGGGACAGCAAGGGTGGGGTCTGAGCTGCCGGACTCCAGTACCAGGACTAAGGCGGGTCTGCAGGGTCTCCGGCTACCTGGCCACGCCGGGCTCCTTTGGACATTTTGTCGGTTGAGATGGACTCTCCCGAATCCCGCTATTGAAGGCTCTGGGAACTCGGTATGCTGCAGAGACACACAGCCAGAGGGGGCTCTGCAGACCACAGGCAGAGTATAGTGAGGGCTCAGTAAACCCGCGCTAAACGAAGCGTGAGCTGGAATAAGGGTCCCCACCAGTGTCGTCCTGTCCCCGGTGTCCCTCCCAAGCTTCTCTCTCTCTTGCCTAGTTGCTAGCAAGCCCAGCTGTGGATCCTTCACATCAACATGCAAATGCACTCATCTCTCTCTCTCCCCTTCAGAAGCACTCCAGCACCCACTTCCTACACCAGCTACCTCTCCCCATGTCCCTCCTCCACTTCCAGCAAACTACTTGGAAAAAGCTGATCTGCTCCTCCTGTCTGCATCCCCTCTTTGCATATATATGTACCTTCCTAGGAAGATACGTGTACTGGGGCAGGTGGGTAGGTATATAGTGAGAAAATACACATCACGTAAAATTTACCCTTGCAACCATTTGAAAGTGTACAATTCAGCAGCACTAATCACTTTCAAAACACTGTGCAACCAGCGCCTCCACTTAGCTCCAGAACATTTCATCACCCCAAAGGGAGAGCCCTCTTCCCAATAAGTAGTCCCTCCCCATTCCTCCCACCCCTCCTGGCTCCTGGCACCCACCATGCTGCTTGGATTTGCCTGACGTGCAAGTTTCCTACAAATGGAATCACACATGATGGGGCCTTTTGCACCTGGCTCCTTTCCCTCACCCCATGTTTCCAAGGGCGGCAGCAGGGTCACCTGCTTTCTGTGCTTCCGTAGCCCTGCCCCATTGGGTCTTGTTCCCACCGTGTAACAATTAATTCCTGATCCTCTCCCTGCTGCCTTCTCCACTCACGGCCTCTCCAACTGCTGCTGACGGCCATGGCTTCCCCCCAGGGTCCCAGACCCCAAGCCCTACAGTTGCCCTTGAGGCCGCACGGACATGTCCACCATGAGACAGCCTGCTGGCTCAACAATAAAAGCATCTGCCCCTTTCTCCCACTTCCAGCACCTCCCCCTTCTTGTCTCATGCCTGGGCCATTGCAACTGCCTCCTCCCTATTCTCCCAGCTTCCATCCTGTCCCCTTCCCTTGTCCATGCTTCGGCCAGAGAGAGCCTTTTCAAATATACATCAGTTCCAGCCATTCTGCCCCAAATCCCCCAGCTCACTCAGCATCAAACCCAAAGTCCTTAAAGTGGCCTGCACGTTCCCACGTGATCGCCAGTACTTCCATGACCTTTTCTGACTTCATTTCCTACTCTTGGGGTCCGTTGGAACTCACTCTTGGTCCAACATGTCACACACACTCATGCCTCAGGACCTTTGCGGGCCTGTTTCTTCTGCAGGGAACATGCTTTCACCAGATGTGTGCATGGCTTCCTTCTTCCCCTCCTTCAAGCCTTTACACAAATGACATCAACTCACTGAGGCCCCTCCTGGACCAACCAGTCCAATACAAGAGGCTGCCTACCTTCACTTCTAGTTTAAAACCTTAGTTTTTAATTGTCAAGCCTCCTAACTTCAGCACTATTGATATTTTGTCTGGATCATTCTCTGCTGTGGTGGACCATCCTGTGCACTGTAGGGTGTCGAACAGCAACCCTGGGCTCTACACACAAGATAACAGGAGCATATCCTCCCCAAATTGCTCAATGCTATATGCCTAGTGCTTAGAACAATGTCTAGCATAAGTCAGCACTCACTATACACTGAGTCCATGAAGAAAAATGAAAAAAGGAAATGATCCTCTTTTTATCTTTCAGCTAATGGAGTTGACAGAACATGTTAGCTGTCACCCCAAATACCTGGCTGAAGGACTGTAGACATCCAGTTCCTCTATGTTCTCCACCTCAGGGGCCATGTCCATCATATTCTCATCTTCTAAGAGCATTGGTAAGATAACATCAGAGGACAACTCCGTCATGGCCAGAGGGCTGTGGTCTGGCATCCCCTCGACCTGGTCTGACATCCCCTCCAGCTGGTCTGACATCCTCTCGAGCTGGTCCGGAATCCTCTCGAACTGGTCTGACATCCCCTCCAGCTGGTCTGGCATCCCCTCAAGCTGGTCTGACCTTTCCTCGAGCTGGTCTGACCTTCCCTCGAGCTGGTCTGGCATCCCCTCCATCTGGTCTGACCTCTCCTCCATCTGGTCTGACCTCCCCTCGAGCTGGTCTGACCTCCCCTCGAGCTCATGAGATGGTCTCTTTGGCTTCTGGAAGACACTGGCCTCCATCTTTGAGATGGGGGTCAGTGAGATGGGTGATGGGGGTACCACCTCCCACCTTGATGCAGGCAGAGGGATGGGATTTGGGGAGACATCGTCCGTTATCAGGCTGCTGGCCTCATGCCTGGGGAGGTCAGGCACTTTGGAAGCCTCTTTTGGGACATGGGTCTGTGCCTCCACCCAGCGATACATGCTCTCTTCAGCCCATGGACGCATTGTCTCCTTCACCCAGGTGCCAAACAGGAATGGCTCTCCAATCACCTCTGGTGTCCTCTGCCGCAAGGGTACCTGACTGGGGCTGGCTGTTGACATGTCAGGCACCTGGCGGGTCAAGAGCCAGGAGGGCAGACTGACGGTTGCTGGCATCGGGGGAGGTTCCTTGGACTTGGCCATGATCATCATCTTGGCAAGGGTGAGCTCCTCCACCGAGAATGGCCTCCTTTGCTCCTCCGGGGGTCCCTGGATGAAGAGTTCCTGGGTCTTGAGCCACTTCTGCTGCTGCCCCACGGTCTGGGATGTTAAGCCAGGCTTGTCCACGGATATCTCCTCCTTCTTTCTGTGGACCTTGTCCTTCAACTTGCCCCTGCCCTTCAAGCCATCCAGGGTGACATCCAGGGCTTTAGTGATCATGACCTCCTCTGACTCCTTCTTGGTCGTCCTAAAAGGCAGCTCCTGGGATGTTTTCTGGGTCCTCGTCTCTATCACGTCCATCTCCTGGGTGCCCACAAACATCAGTGGTTTTGCCGTCCCTTCAAACTTGCTTCTCTCAAGCACTTGCCCTCTAAGACTTCCCATGGGCAGCGTGCCCAAATTGGCAGTGTCAGGTGCCATCTGGTATTGAGTAGGTGAGGTCAGATCCTTCTGGGATGGGGTAGGTGGGAACAAAGATTTCCTTCTTGGGACAGAGGCCGATACAGACTTTGGAGGAAGAGCAAGTAGAGGTGGGGCCTTCCGGGATGGGCCGGGACTGGCTGGGGCCTTCTGGGATGTAGCGGATACAGCTGGGGCCTTCCGGGATGGGCCGGGACTGGCTGCGGACTTCCGGGAAGTAGCGGATACAGCTGGGGCTTTCCGAGGTGGGTCGTGTACTGTTGGGGTCTTCTCGGTAACAGCGGGCACCACTGGGGCCCTCCGGGACCGGCCAGGTACAGTCGAGATCTTCTGGGATGGGGTATGCACTGCTGAGACCCTCTTGGACTGGTCAAAGAGGAATGGAACCTTCCAAGAGGCGACTCGGGCGTTTGCAGTCTTCTGAGAAGCTGGAGGCCGCTGCCTCTGCTCAGGTCCCCGAGGCTGGGCCTTTTCCTTGCGCCTGCGGAAGAAGGAGTAAGCGGCTGGGAGGGAGAAGGGGGGAGGGTAAGTGGCTGGGGGTAAGGAGGGCGAGGACAAGGTGCTGGTATCGGGGTCCATCAGGTTCTCAATGTCCTGCCACAGGTACGTGTCGAAGGGATCATAGGGTTCCAGCAAAGAAGTATCAGGTGTGTCTGCGGAGGCACAGCGGATGGGAGTCTCAATTAAACCTCCCAGGACTGTGGCTGTGTCTGAATCAGACGAGGAACCCTGTAGGTGGACAGAGAAGAGGGGAAGAATGGTGAGGACCAGGAGAGGCTCCCAGCCCCCTCCTCCCTCAGACCCAGGGGTCCAGGCCCCCAGCCCCTCCTCCCTCAGAACCCGGAGTCCAGACCCCAGCCCCTCCTCCCTCAGACCCAGGAGTGGGGCCCCCCGGAAATAGCTGCCTTGGAAGGGGACTGTGTGCGGTTGACGGTGTTGGAAACGATGCTGAAGATGGTGCGGATGGTGATGCTGGGCTTCCCTGGGTGAGAAGAAGGCAGTCAGCTTTGGGGGACATGCCAGACGTTGAGGGTCCGTACAGGGAGGGGGAGGTGTGCTCACCGGTAACCTGGACTTGGGTCTGAGATGCGTCAGGATGGAGGTTTCTTTGGGACCTGCAGGGGCCAGTGTGGTGTGACTCGGGTGGCCTCCACACCAGCCCTCACCCTCTGCCTCCCGTGGGCGGCAAGACCCCGAGCCTACTTCTTGTCTGCAGATTTCTTTCTAGGGTCAGCGTGCTCCAGCTGCGACCAGATGAGAGGCACGGAGTCGCCCACGGCCTGGGACTTGAATTTGCGCTTGAGGGCCTGGCGGTGGGAGGAGGCACGGCGGGCGTCAGGGGGTGCAGCACCCGCAGCCGCGGCCCCTCGCCAGCCGGGCCCGTCCAGCCCACTCACCCTGGCCTTCCTCTGTTTGTGACGTGTCAGCGTCTTGTAAGGAAAGCTGGGCTCCACAATCATGACTGCAGAGGAGGGAGGACTTGCAGTCAAGGTCCCTGGAGGGGAGGACATGGGGCTCGGGCGGGGGAGGGCGGAAGAGCTCCAGTGACGGCAGGTGCGGCCACACCTGGGCGGGAGAGGCTGCGAAGTGGGGTAGGGCCTGAGGACACTGAGGCTGCTCACCGGAACGCCTGGACTGGGGCTGGTCCTGTGGACAGTCGCGGGGGAAGGGGTCAGTCAGGACGGGTGCCTCCTCCTGGCTTCCGCATCTCCATCACCTACCCAGCTCGGGACTCCAGGACCCCAGCCCGTCCCCATGCCAGGACCCAGGGGTCCTGCCCTCCTTTCCTGCCAACCCTGGAATCCAGGCCCCGGCCCCCTCCTCCCTCAGACCCCGGAGTCTTGGCCCCCAGCTCATTTCCTGGGATTCTGGATTTCAGCCGTTGGCCCTGGCTCTGAAATCCAAAACCCTAGCTGCTCCCGGGGTCTGTGGGGGGCGCTGCCCACCTGGAGGCGCCAAGTGGAGGCAGGAGGTGCAGCGCCGGCCAGGTCCGTGGCGGGCGCGTGCAGGGTCCTGGGGACCCAGGTTGTGGCGGGCTCCTGGAGCAGATGGATGAGACGGAGCCAGCGGTCAAACAGGAAGCCGGCCTCGTCCCCGGCCGCAGCCAGCTCCAGGTAGTAGTAGCGGCCTGTGACCAGGCGCAACTTCAGGCGCCAGGAGGACAGATCATGCACGTAGAGGCGGAGCAGGTGCAGCGGGAGCATCCTGGGGGAGGCGGGAGACAGATGCTGGAGCAGGAAGAGGGACGGGGTTGGGAGGAGGTGGGGGGAGGGCAGGCACCTGGTCAGGACGAGGCTGGAGCACTCCCTGCCCTCCCTGCCCTCCGGGGGCTGAGCGATCAGCAGGATGTCTGGCAGCAGCAGGCCAGGCTGGGAGGCAGCCACACCCATGGTCACACGGTTGGTTCTGTGGTGCACGTACACGGGGGCCCCTCGATTGGTCACCTGGGAGGGCCAGGGAGAGGGGCTGGGACCACTCCTTTCTCCAGTGCTCCTCCGGCACCTCCAGCCCAAGCCCCCTAACACCTGAGCCTCCTTGTCCCCACCGCTGCTTCGTGCTTGCCTGGGTTCAAACCCCCCAGCCCAGAGGGGTCTCAACCCCCTCCTGCCCCTCCCCGCCCCCAGGATGCAGGGAGCTGGGGACCTGGACAAAGTTACTCTCGAACATGGGCAGCGGGCGGAGGGGCAGGTACTCGCCCTTCTGGAGGGTCTTCTGCAGCTCGCCTAGAGTGGGGACCCATTTTGAGGGTCCATGGAACGGCTCCATGTGCCTGATGTTCCAAAGCCGGTTCATGATGGCTACAGAGAAGGTGGCTCACCCCAGGCACAGAGTCAGGGACCTGGGCGCTTGGCCTGCCCTGTGCCCCCCAGCCCACTGGCCCTGGCCCTTTAGGCTTGGCAGGTGTCAGAGCTCAGTGGTCCCAGAGGGTGGAGCTTCCCCAGGGCTTGGCCATGGCCCTGCGGTGGGGGGTGTCAGCCCTGGCCTGGGGGAGGAGCCTTCGGTGGGGGGGCTTTGTGACCTCATCAGACACATAAAACTCTTTCTGGAAACTCTCTGGGAGGCGTGGGCTCCCTTCTCCTCCAGGCCTGGAGTCTGTGATTCGGAAGGGACTCCGCACCCTTGGCAGGATCTGTCTTGGATGTTATAAATAGATAATTAACCAGAGTTTCCCACTTAAGAAGGGAGGCCCGCGTGTGGTCCCAACTCGCCACTGACCCTTCTGTAGACCTTGAGGAAGACCCAAGAAGTCTTGGTTCCCCCATGTAGAGCCGATTTGTGTCTGACCGTGATCGCTGAACATTGGTCATCAAGAAAGGGGCATGCGCTTTGCAGTGAGCCAAAGCTCTGGCAGAATCACAGCCGCGTCTCTCAAGGTGTGACCTTGAACACAATGTCCCCTCCCTGCCAGCCTCACACCACCCCCCCCCCCGTCTGGAAAGTGGGGCATATTTGGCATTCAGGGGATCATGTAAGTAAAGCTCTATACTTTAAGGCATGGCCCAGCCTACCCACCCCTCCCGCCCCTGGGAGCAGTCATCCTTGACTCCTTCTGAGGTCTTATTTTGGGGGAAGGGGCTGACTGGCATTCTGTCATTCTAAAAAGTGTGTATTATTATTTTTTAAATGGGTCACGCAAAATACATGGTCATTGTAGAAATTCTGGGTAATTTGGACAAGCACAAATGATAAAAGTCACCCATAACCCCATCCCACCTTCTACCCTGAGTTGACTATGGTTGACATTTTGGTGTATTTTCTTTTTTGCTTTTTAATGTTTTATTTATTGAGAGAGAGCGTGAGCAGGGGATGGTAAGAAAGAGAGAGGGAGACACAAAATCCGAAGCCGACTCTAGGCTCTGAGCTGTCAGCACAGAGCCCAACGCAGGGCTTGAACCCACAAGCCATGAGATCATGACCTGAGCCGAAGTTGGAGGCTTAACCGACTGAGCCACCCAGGTGCCCCTTGGTGTTATTTTCTTCTAGGAGTTATTTTTATTATTTTTTTTAAGTTATTATTTTAAAGTAAGCTCTATGCCCAATGTGGCACTTGAACTCACAACCCTGAGATCAAGGGTCGCACGCTCTACTGACTGAGCCAGTCAGGTGCCCCATGTTCTAGGACTTCTTAAAAAAATCTACATACCTACCCATCCATCCATCCATCCATCCATCCATCCATCCATCCGAACACAAAGTGGGAATCATGCAGAGAAGACATGCTTTCTCTATGTCTTAAAGCCACCTCTGTATCATCCCCCCTTCGTGGCTGTTATTCCATCACACACAGGTGTCATTTATTAAACCATCCCTCATTGTTGAACATCTAGGTTGTTTCCAATTTGCTGTTCTGGACACCGCCATAATGAACGACCTCAAATTTGCAGTTTTGTTATGTACAAGTACTGTAGGGCACTGGATGACCCTCTGGAACCTTCCATTAAATATCTATTGAGTGCCTATGAAGTGCTACGTACCAGATGAGGCTGAGACCCTCCCCTGGAGGATCAACCATCTCTCCTCTGCTGTCCTGCCCACTAAGGGTCCCTGCTCCAGGGACCCCAGCCCCCAGGCCTCAGACAAATCACCTGTAAGTGGATGTGTATGACAAATTTAATTCCCCTTTCTGTATCGTACAAAGGTTTCTCACATTTTGTACAAAAACCCAGGTTTCCTTTCCCTTCCCTCCCCACCCCAACACAAAAAGTAATTGTTTAATAAATAATATATGCTCCTGCCCAGGCCCAGAGGCGTGGGAGACAGGGAAACACTGTGGCCAGACGTCTTAGAGATTCAAGAATCCAGGACTCAGTTCCCTCCCCCTTTGATCCCCAAGTCCACCCGCCCCCTTAAATAAATAAGTATAAATAAGGCACAGTTGCCCCCCCACCACTCTGCCCAGGTCTCCTGGAGGGACCGTCTCTAATTAGGGGCAGGAGAAGAGGGGGGTGCCTCCCGGCCTCCATGCCCTTAGTCCCAAAATAAATAAATAAATAAGATGTGGCATTGAAGGACGCTGGTGGTTCTTTGCGGCCGGTCACAGCCGAGTCTTCAGCAGCAGCAAGCCCCGCACGGCCCAGTCAAGGGTCAGGTGCAAGCCCCCAAGAATGGCGTGAGCCGCCCTGATGCCTCCCCAGGCTGAGGCTGGGGGGGCCAGCGGGGGAGCTGGTGGGTCTGGGGGTGCTTGGGGTAAGGCCAGGCGAGACATCTGTTGGGAGAAGATAGAGGGTTAGCAATAGCTAGGGGGTGCAGTGGGGGGTCCCGGGAAGGGGTGTTTGGAGCATCTACTGAATAAGGCGTTGGGGAGTCCAGGCTGCATGTTTCCAGAGGATCCTTAACCTGTGGGGTAGGGTTTCTGGGTGGGGAGTTCTCAACACTTTGGGTCCAGCAAAGGAGGAGATCTCAAAGCTGGAACTCCAGGGCCGCGTTTAGAGGATCGGGGGGTGAAGACTATAGAGTCAGGGCTGGAACCCTGGTGCTAGGTGAGGGCTGGGGGCTGTAGGCTCAAGTCTGGGGGTCAGGTCCAAGACCTCGGGGTCCGCGTCTTAGATGTGGGGTCTCTAGGATCCAAATTCAGGGACTCATGGGTGAGGGCTGGGGTCTCAGGACTGGGAGCCGGGCTTTGAGGTCCAGGGTCTCTGTGGCCAGGCCCAGGAACGGGCATCTCAAGTTTTCTGGTCTCAGGTTCTGGCAGTCAGGGGTTGGCAGTTTTACGGGCTCACAAGGTCTTAGGGACTCAGAGCTCGGGGTCTGGGGTCTTCTCATTTGAGATCTCACGGTCTAGGTTCTTGAGGTCCGGAGTTTGCAGAGCCAGTCTCCAGGCTGGCTTAGGGTCAGGGTCTGGGGCCTCGAAGGGGGCTGGGAAACTCTGAGCAGGCCTGGAGTCTGGGGTCCTGGGGTCTCAGGTTTCAAGTCTGGGGCCTGGGAGCTGCGAGGTCGTACCAGGAGCTGCAGCCGGCGCAGCAGTCGGTCCAGCCGGGCCTGCAGGGAGCCCAGCTCCGGCTCCAAGGTCCGCAGGGAAGGGCCGCCCGCCCGCCGCAGCCACTGCACGTGCCGCAGGTAGGAGAGCAGGTCTGCCCGCAGCCGCGTCAGCACACCGGGGAGCTGGGAGGCAGGGCAGGGGGGCGTCACGGAACGCCTGCCGCATGCCGGCTCTGGCCCCCCGTCGCCCCTCCCGCACCCCCCTGCCGCCCAGCTCTCACCTGGGCCCCCACCCCCTTCCCTTACCTGTAGGGCTCCCAGGGCTCCTGCACTCATGGCCAAGGTGGGAAGAGAGTCCAGGTTGTGGTCTCCGTCGGCTGGAAATTTGTCTCTCTGGGGGGGAGGGGGGGAAGAAGCCTTGAGGGGACCCTGCCCAGCTCCAGGGGTCCCCGGACTCCTCCCTCCCGCTGCTTCCGTGGTAGCCCAGAAGCCCCCCCCACTCTGGGTCCCGGGCCCAGCCCACCCCCTGCAGGCCGTCCCACCAGCTGTGCGGCAAGCTGCCGGGTGTCCGCCAGCAGCGAGCGGGTCAGGAGCACGGCGCTGTCCAGCTCAGCCCGAGGGTCTGGGGAGGCCCGTGGGGGGCCAGGCGGCGGCCCCGGGGCAGCAGCTCTCTCCGGCCACAGGCTCAGAGCGACCAGGACCAGGCAGCAAACACCTGGGGGCGGGAGAAGGCGGAGAGCGCTCAGACCGGACTGGTGGGTCCGGGGGAGGAGGGCCTGGGGGTCCCGAGTCCCGGGGTGGAGCGCCCAGGGCCGGTCGCAGGCCCGGGGCGGGCTTCCCTCTCCCTCCCCGGCTCTGGCTGCCCCGCCCGTCGGAGCAGACGCGGCCCGGGGCGGGTAGACAGGCCGGGCGTCTCCCGTCCGCCCCCGGACGCCGGAATCTGGGCCCCGGGGCGGGGCATGAGGGGGGAGGCACAGGCCAGAACCTGCCCCCTCCCCGGGCCTCGGGAGCCCGAGCCGGACTGAGGGCAGGGGAAGGAGACCGGGACAGAAACCCGGAGGCCCAGACCCCTCCCCGGGGGACAGCCCCACCCCCAGGTGGGCCGCGGGGCAGCGGACGCCCCCGGAGCACACCTGGGCCGAGGGACGCAGAGACGCGGGCGCAGCGGGGACGCGGGGGGCGGAGAGGGACCCGGCGGCGGCGCGCGGCTGGGGGACTCGGGCCCGCAGGCTCCCCGGCAGCCCATCCCCCCCCAGCGGCCCCGCCCACCCCGCGCCCGCCAGCCAATCAGCGCCCCCCGGGCCGCCCCGCTCCCGCATCACACCCCCAGCCCGCCCCCCGGGCCCTCCCGGGCCGCTGTCTGTCCGTCGGTCCGCATCTGTCTGGCTCTCTCGTCTCTGTCTGCACCACTGTCTGTCTTCCTCTCCTTTCCCGGCCTGGGGTCGCTGTTGGGGACCTGCGCTCACCTCCTAGGGCTCCCTGCCTCAGTTTCCCTCCCGGGGCCTTTCTGTCGGGATGCCTGGGTGTCTGCTGGCTCCCTGGGGGTCCCGGGCCCCTGGAGGTCACCCCCCGCCACTGGTCCGTCTCTGTCTGGGGGTCTCCATCTCTCGCGCTGCCCTGTGCGTGTCTCCGCCCGTCTCTGCTCCCGGCCTCCTGCTTTCTCCGAATCTCCTTTCCTCTCCTCCGTCTCTGCCTCCCCACGGCTCGCTCGCTCTCCTCTGTCTCCCTGTCCGATTCCGCTGTGTCTGTCTGCTCCCCACCCTCCTCGCCGCGGTCCCTCCCTCCTCCCTTCCTGTCCCCCCCCACCCTATGAACTTGAACCAACTTACTGTTCATGTCCCCACAGGGCAGGGGTTCCCCAGGGCAGGGGGCAGGGAGCTGGGGGCCTTTAACCCTTCCCTGTCCGCCGCCGGGGGGGAGCCCTGGGGGTCAGCTGGGCCTCGGCCTGGGGAGGGGAGGCATGTGCGTGTGAGCAGCGAGGGCCGTGGCAGTGAGGGAGTGTGGACGCCTGGGGGGTTATATAGGGGGCCAGGGCGGGCGGGCGGGGGGCAGGCGGCAGGGGAGGGCGGCCTGACACATCCTGACTCACCCTCCCTGCCTGCCTTTTCCATTCAGACGGAGCGGCTGCCTCCTCGCAGGGCTCAGGCTGCCTTGCTCAGAGGAGGGCACAGAGAAAAGTTGGAAAAGTTGAAAAGAGAAAGGGGGGGGTGGTCGGAGAGGGGCTGGTGAGGTCATTGGCGTCCCCTCCCTCCACCTCCTCGGCCGGGCCGCCACAGGGGCAGACACACACGGCGCAAGAGCTGGGGCCCCGGCTGCGGGCTGCGGGCGGGGGTCCACTGGACCCAGACGGGCACGGAGGGACAGGGAGAGCTGGGGACAGGGCCGCGAGACGCAGGCCTGCGGAGATGGACGTGCAGGGCAGAGCGACCTTGAGGGACAGAGAGAAAGAGAAAAGGATGGAGCGCCTAGACCCAAGCAAGGAGACAGAGGCACTTGGAGAGATGGGGGACACTGGGGCAGAGATGGGGCGTCCGAAAGGCGAGATAGAGAGACAGCGATACACAGAGACACACACTGCAGTCACAGAGAGGCCCAGAGTGCCCCCAGGAGGAGGAGGGACAGAGAGACAGACTTGCAGTCACAGAGGGGAGGCCGGCTGCGGAAGGGAGGCAGAGGAAACGGAGACACGGAGCAGGGCAGGTGACGAGGCTGTAAAGACCCCAGGAGGCAGAGGCAGGGACACAGACTCGCTCCGAGTGTCAGAGGTGCTGAGCACTGAGGAAGGAGAGGGGCAGAGTCTTTCCCCAGGAGACAGAGAGGTGCAGGTGCAGAGAGGAGCAGAGATGGAAAGGAGGTGCTGTACCCCTCTGTGCCTCAGTTTCCTCACCTGTGAAATGGGGGTAACTGAGCACCCATCCCACCCCCCAAACGCCAGGGTGAGAGCGAGTTCACTTGTGCAAAGCACACAGTCAGCTCTCGGTAAATATGAAGCATTGCGATTCTTTCTTGATGTTTATTAACACATGCGTGGAGACCCAAAGAAAGATGGGCTGGAGAGGGTGCGTGAGTGGACAAGACAGTGAGGGTGACGGAAACGCGGAGAGGGTGGCTCAGCCAGGGAGTGGAGCTGGGGACAGGGCACGGGGGACACGGCAGGGAGACGGCAGTGCACAGAGACATCGCAGCCGGAGCGGGAGACACACACAGCCTGGGGGACAGCAGCATGGACGCAGGCATCCGGAGGGCGCCAGGCACGTGGGGCAGAGCCCATGAGGGACCAGGTCCGGAGCCCCATTCCCAGGAGCCTTCACCCCCTCCCAGGACAGAAGCTATAGTGAAAGACGAAGTGACGAGAATTTCCAAAGGTCCCCCAGCAGACCCCCTCTAGGCCCTGCGCTGAGCTGGCAGCGGGGCTATGGGGATGAATGGAGGCCAGACCTCTCCACCTCCCATCCCCCACCACGGGAGGGGGGGGACGACGGCTCTAGTCCCCAGGGAGGTGAGGTCACAGCCCCCCCATGGTGGGACATGACCTCATTGCCTCAGGTAAGAGCTCTCTCTCTCTTGGTCTGTCATGGCCACCCCTTCCAGGGCCCCCCAGGGGCCCTCCCCAGCCCCCGCTCCCGCAGGGACCCAGGCCTCTGACCACTGGGTCTCCGCCCCTCAGGGGGCCTGTTTCCGGCTGACTCAGCGTGGGGGGCCCGAGGCTGCGTCAGTGAGGGGAGAACTGACGTAGCCCCCCCCCCAGACCGGCGGGGCCAGCCAAGGTGACTCAGGCCACCAGCCTGGGGGATGGACTGGCCTGAGGGGATAGGGACTGGGCCCAGGGCCAGTCTGGGAGCAAGAAAAAGGGATCTTTAATGGTAACCCTTCACCTACAGGGAACCAGCCCCTCTTCTTCCACCCAGGAGTCCGGACCCCCAGCCCTCCTCCCTCAGACCCAGGGGTCCTGACCCCCAGCCCTCCTCCCTCAGACCCAGGAGTCCTGACCCCCAGCCCCTCCTCCCTCAGACCCCATGCCAGGTGTCCAGGTCCCAAACCCTGGTTTCCAGGTGGAGAAAAAGATGTTCCCTTTTGCAATTTGGGGACAACTCTATGGAAAAGGTCAGGAGTCTGGGGCTGGGTCAGTGGTGCGTGCATGGCTGGTGCCAGCCCCCGCCCCCCCAGGGCTCTGGGGTCATGTTTCCCCATCCTTCATCCTTCCTGGCTGCAGGAGGCTGAGGGAGATGGAGTGGGTGCAGGAAGGCAGGGGAAGAGATTGCTCAGGACTCCTGGGTCTTCCCCAGACAGCAAGAAGGGGTGGGGTCCAGACACTGAGAGGCAGGACAGGGGAGTCACAAACAGGTGGCGAGATGACACCGACAAACAGAAGCAGAGACTGGAGCACAAACACCCAGAATGACAAACAGACAATGGTGTAAAACAATGGGATCTATGGAAACACAAAGAAATGGGTCCAGAGATGGGATGAGATTCAATGGGGGGGGGTCACAACCAGGGGGTAAGGTGCCCCAGGGATACCAGTGGGGAGCCAGGGGGTCCTTGTGTGTGCCGACCCCTGGGTGAGGTGGGGCTGACTGGTGTGAGGTCAGCAGATCCCAGGCTGTGTGTGTCCGTCTGTCTGTCCCTGGGGGGTCCTGTCTGGCCTCTGGGGGGTGACGGGGCAGGCGGGCCGCAGAAGCAGCCCAAACCTGTCATTAGCGGTGAGGGCCGTGACGGCGGGGCCCCCCCCCCAGTCCCAAGCCGCGGTCCAGGGCCCTGGCAGCCCCGCCCCCCACCCCCTCCTTGATCCCTGAGGAATCCCGGGAATTGCGAAGTGGGTCCAGATGATGTTGACACAGGAAATGGTCATCAGCTGCTGGCCTCAGCTCCACAACCCCTATGACCCTCCCACCCCCGGCCCCCTGCTGAGCCCCCTCTAACCTGTGTCATCTCTGACGGAGGCAGCCCAGGGCCACTCAGCTCCCACCAGGATGTTTACAGGAGATGCGCAGGGCGGGGGTCAGCCTCACAGGGCTTCCTGAGAAATGGGGTCTGGACTCCTGGACAGTTGCCCTCAGACCAGTCCTGACCTCCTCCTCCCTCAGATCCAGGAGTTCAGACTCCCAGCCCTCCTCCCTCAGACCAGGGGTCCAGATCTCAACCCCTTCCTCCCTCAGGCCCGGAGTCCAGGTCCCCAGCCCCTCCTCCCTCAGACCCGGGAGTCCAGACCCCCAGCCCCTCCTCCCTCAGACCCTGGAGTCCAGGCCCCCGGCCCCTCCTCCCTCAGACCCAGGGGTCCAGGCCCCCGGCCCCTCCTCCCTCAGACCCAGGGGTCCAGGCCCCCGGCCCCTCCCCCCTCAGACCCTGGAGTCCAGGCCCCCGGCCCCTCCTCCCTCAGACCCAGGGGTCCAGGCCCCCGGCCCCTCCTCCCTCAGACTCAGGGGTCCAGGCCCCCGGCCCCTCCTCCCTCAGACCC